CCTATGCTGTGTAGCTTCCAATTACTAAATTATTTGTGCAGTCTCTGTCTGTTAGATCAGCAAACTGTACTGAGAAATCTGTACAGGAAATCAGAAATCTCTGGGAGAAACCCTGTCACATGTTGCCATTCAAAAATTTTTCTTCTAACATCTTTCAGTCATTTATTGGTTGTCTAATGCCAAAGTTCATCATGTTGTTCTCCAGTCCTTCTGATGCAGTGATGTATAGACATCGCTATGCAAATTTACAGTGAAATAAGCTAAGACTGTGTCTGTATCAGCAAATAGGAGTTACTGATAGGAGTGGATAGGCACAGCAAAGCTAATTAATGTTGAGATCCTGACACGCATACTATATGCATTTCAGGTGGGATGTACTCAGGTTAGCCCTAGCCTGGTAATATGGTTGGAATGCACTAGGCACGCACGAGGTACCTCTGCATTAGTATTCTAGTTAGGACCAGGAGCACACTTTTGAAGGAAACCTGATTGCTCCCACTTGTCATGCAGGGTCTTGGAGTGTGCATAACAGATTCCTTTTGAAGGAAACCAAACCCACGGATACATCCCCAGAACATACCCAACATGTTCCAACCCTAGCAGTCACCGCATCCACAGGACTAGACTAAAGCTGGTCTGGACTGGCATAGCAGCAGTGTGGATGTCTGACCCTCAGCTCTGCTTCTCTCACTCTGAACGCCTCTTGTTACTTGCCAACGTATACATAGGCTCAGACCCGGAAATATCCTGAGGTAATGAAGTGACAACATACAGTTAGATGAGGTACAAATCCATTACCCTATGTAGTAAGGACTGAAATATCCCAGAAAATGAAAAAAAACAAAACCAACCCACCCACAAATACATAGTTATGCTATAGAAGTTGTGAAACTCAGTGCAGAACACAACTTTTAAAACAGCCAGACGGCATCTACAGGGTTACTACTGAACTTGGAAAAGCAAAAAGGCAGTTCACCAAGTGAACTCATTGCTCCAGAGACTGCATAGAACCAGGACACATCCAGCAAAGCTCTTTAGTCTCTGAGACGCAGACAAGCATCTCTCCAGCTTTTACAGTCAAGCCACAATACACTGGCACAACGCTGCACCTGCGCTCAGCCCTACTGGTGTCTGTGCACCTAAAGCAAAACTGATCAGCAGGAGATCCCCAGTAACCCCAAAATACACCCTGAGAGAAGTTTCCAAAGGTGAGAGCAGAGATCACTTACAGCACAGCACCAAAACCAATCTTTAAGGGTATTTCCAAACATGTTTGCGGTAAGCAGCCCGCACACATTTAGGAAATGCTGTTGGAACACCACCATTACCAGGAAGCACATGAGTCGGGGAGATTTTTCATTTTGCATTTAGCTGTGCCAGTCATGAAGTGTGACTGACATGCTGCAGGCCACCACGTCAGTCACAGAACCATGGAATGGTTGAGGTTGAAAGAGACCTTTAAGATCACCCAATTCCAACCCCCCTGCCATGGGCAGGGACACCTTCCACTGGACCAGGTTGCTCAAAGCCCCATCCAGCCTGGCCTTGAACACCTCCAGGGATGGGGCACCCACAGCTTCCCTGGGCAGCCTGTGCCAGTGCCTCACCACCCTCACAATAAAGAAGGTCTTACCAATACCTAATCTAAATTTACCCTCTTTCAGTTTAAAACCATTACCCCTCGCTCTATCACTAAGTCACTTGGTCAACCCTGGCCTGTCAGCACACGGCGCTGCCTTCCCCCTTGATTTTGGTAGGCGAGGAGCCTGATGGCAGCAGACGGGGCTTAACGACCAACCCGGGCGCCGGCCAGTACGAGCCGCCTCAGCCGCCGGG